ATTTCCTTCCATTATTTCCTTTCCTCTTTCCCTCCCTTTTGCAGCCTCTGCACCTCCCTGGTGTCTCCCACCACCCCAACGCGGCCCTGCTTGCTCTGGGTGGTTTGTGTGTGAGTGCCTGAGCCCTGGTGGTGCAGGGGCAGCCCCTGCAGATGTGTGAAGTCCTGCTGTTGTTCTGTTTGCAGTGCCAGCTCTCCCGTGATGCCTGGCCACTGGCTCCAGCCGTGACCTGCAGGGACAGGCACAAGATGTAGTTTGTGACCCTTCCTAGCAAGGCCAGCCTGGAGCTCTGCCCCTTGAGGAGAGACCTTCAGAGGATGAATGGGATAATCCAGCCAGCTCCTGCTGCTCTATGGTGAGCTGGGACACCAAACTCACACTGCTTCACACCTGAAGCTGGACTTGGCCTGGTCTTAGAAGGAAATGCTGTCTCTGCTCTGTGGCCACCCCTCAGCTCTCAACGTCTTCCATTGAACAGTTGACTTTCCACTCTAGGAGGGAAGGATCAAATGGGTTGAGGACAACTGGCCCTTCTTGGCTTTGGCAAAGAGGATTCTTTGGTGCTTTTTAAAGTGCCAGGACATGAAACAGTAAATCCCTTCTTCCTGCCCTCCTGCCTCCTGCAAGCAGCCCTGACTGAGGTCCAAGCCAGCCAGTTAAAGGGTTAACCATAGCTGGATGCCTGCATGGCTGCCTTACTGATCCCACGGAGGTAACTGGAACAAACACAGTGCATCCCCACCCTGCTACCATGTCCCTGTCCACCTCGTCCAGCAAGCCCCTCTGCCCACTGCAGTGTCCCTGCTGCCCTTCCCTTGCCTCTCCACCTCCTGCACACCCAATTTCTCTCCCCTTTTCTCTCCCCTGTGTCCTGGCTTGGAAGTCCTGGCTGAGAGAAGTGTTTTCCACAAGGAACCAGCTCCCTGCTCTGATTCCCTGCTGCAGTCCCTTGATCTCAGGCATCCCAGGGGAACGGGAGCAGCGCTGCTGTGCTGATGCCTGTCACACCTCTTGCTGGGAAATTCGTGAGCAAACAGAGCAGGGCACAGAAAGGTGGGGGTAGGAGGCATCTGGAGAAGGATCCTGCAGTGGGTTTGGTGTCCAGCTGGGAAGGTGGCACTCCCTGTGCTCTCCTCTGGAGTTTGTGCAGTGCCCACGGCCATGGGGCCGGAGTTGGAGGCTGTGCAACAATTCCTGTGGCTGAGGAGTTCCTGGGTTTTGTGCTTGTTAAACGCTGTGAGCTGCCTGTGCTGCACCAGGGAGACACTCGGTGCATTTAATTAACATTTAATTTGCTTGAAGATTACATTAAAATGTGCAATAATAGAAGCTCTCCGAAGGGCGGGAGGAGAAGGGGGAAACAGGCGCGCCACAGATTGGCTCAGGCACTGGTGCTGAAGTGTTCTGCAAGAATTACAGATGGAAGGGGAAAAATGCTCTACTTGTGCAGCCACAGAGAGTGTTGGGCATCTGTTTGGGAGCAGAGCTTTCAGCAGCTCCAAAGGAGGTCCAGCAGCTGGGAAGGGGAGATGGGGTCACTGAATGTTCCTCCCATGGTCCTGAGGAGAGAATGGCCCAGTTTGATATCCAGGGAATCTCCAAGAGGAGACACCCTCGGGCTGGAGAGGCAGATCACAGAGCCCATACAACCCCACCAAGAAGCAGCCCCTACATGTTTTTGGGGAGAGGGTGGTGCCAGTCCCATGCAATGCATGTGTTCCCTCTCCCTGTCCCTCTGTCCTGCCCATCCCGGGTTATGTAACGAAGGATGCTGCGGCTGCTGTCCTGGGAAGGGGCTGGGCAAGGACACCAGGGGCTGGCACGGGGCTGAAGGCTCTGGGGCTGGGCTGAAATGTAGAGGAAAAGAGCTATAAAGCCATTTTCTGCCTGGGTAAGCGTGTCAGGAGACAGCAGTTTGATCCTGCTTATGTAATCCTGAGTCTAAAGAACCGCTCGGGATCGATCCTGGCTGGGAGCTCAGGGGGCTGCAGCACAGGCTCACCTTGCAGGTGCCTTCCTACCCCTCTCCTTCCTCCAGCCCCCTCCACCTCAGGGATCTGTGCTGGTTTTGGTGCTGCTGGAATGTGGTGACCAATTTCTTGTACTGCTGCCCATTGCTCTCCTCCCACACCCGACCAGGGCAGGACTTTCCAAGAAAGCATCCCAAAATGCAGCCCTTCAAAGCCTTTCTGCCAGCCTGGTGTGAGGGAGCCTTCAGCTGCTCTGGTGCTGTTCACCCATAACATCAGCCTGGACATGTCTCAGGCTCCCTCTCACACACCAAGGGAACCAAGGACACAGATCTGGCACAGAGGTTTTTCTTTTTTTTGGGTTTGTTCTTTTTCTTTTGCCAAGCTGGCTAGACTTATAATCATCCTTGTTCTTTGGTTTTCCCCCTGCTAACACCCCTGCTTCCCCACCTCGACCACAGGAGCAGAGGGATGAGGACTCGCCTGGGCTGCCTGTCTCACAAATCAGACTCATATAATGATTTCACAGCTATTCTTCCGGACAAGCCCAACCGGGCTTTGAAGTGAGTATAGCTGCAGCATCCCACCCAACCCCACTCCTGCCCTTCCCCTCCCCACCCACCACCTCCCCCCTGCAGTATTGTCCTCCTTTTGTTGTGTTTTGTACAAGTTGTGAGTGCTTCCAGCAGGAAAACAAACTGATCCAGCAGGAACAGCTCTGGAAACTCCTGGATCTGTGGCTCTGTGAGACAGGACGTGCTCCCAGTCCCCACTGCTGTGTGTGGGACACGTCTGCACCTCTTTGGGGACGTAATTTACACCTCTGCCATCACAAATCAAAGCCTGAGCAGTTGGCTTGGTGTAAGAGGTGACCCGAAATTTCAGGTCATCTTCAGCTCAGCCTGGTATTTGACACTGCAAAAATTCGGGTGATGGTTTGAAAAATGCTGGAGGGAAATGCTTCAACCCCTGCAGAGTCCTGATTTGAGAAGTGTGGGATGGGACTCATCTGACCACAAGTCCCTGCTTCCACCTGAGATAAGATCTGTCCTTCCCCTGAAAGGCAAGCAAGAGAAATAAACACTTCTGCAGGGCTGAGTTCCATCTCGCCTGACTTTTGGCTTTTACAATGTAAATGTCTGCATCTGAGCTCGTTTCCTGGGCCTCTGCTCAGAGTCAATGAGGAAAAATTGGTGCCTTTTTGGGCATGATTCATCTGGCCTATTTTACCTGCCTGCCTGGGGATGTGAGCTGAGCAGAGTCCCTGCAGGTCCCTTGGGATCTCCTCCCTGATTCTAAAGCAAGCCCAGGGTCACTTGGCTCAGTTCTACACCCTAGATCTCCAAAATCAGGTGAGAGGAATCCCAGCCTTCCTCGGTGTCCTCAGCAAACAGCTCCAGAGGGGATGAGCAGCTGTGTTTGTCTGTAACTTGCTCCTTCCTTTCCTTACAGAAGACTGTCAACAGAAGAAGCTACAAGATGGGCAGACTCTTTTGATGTCCTTTTGTCCCATAAATGTGAGTAGAGATGAAATTCTATCTTTTTTTTTCCCTCCATTTCCCTTAACCCCTGTCCAGGGGCATGGTCCCTCCCAGCCACCATCCTTTAGGTAGGAAAAAAGAATTTTGTGTGTTCCCTTCACATCTTTGCTCCTGACAACAAGGAAAACCACAACTGCTAAAGCCATCAGCCCAAGGTGCTGCTTTTTCCAGCTCAGCACCCTTGACCAGCTTGTTCTGGCACAGAGGAATCCCCCTTGGTCCCCCTGAGCTGCAGTTACCACAGCAAACCCAAAAATTTCACATCCAGAGCCCTCATGCCAACCTATAATCAGCAATCCCTGCTCTGTTCAGTCCTGTGAGGTCTGTTCTGCAAATATTGCTCTGCTTCAGCAGCATTTTCACACTGAGAAATTATAAACAAAGCAAAGTTCCCAGTATGGGTTCATTCATGGGTTTCTATTGAAGCAAAAAACCCAAATGAGTTGAGGTTGGGGAAAAGCCACCGTGGGTGCTGAACTCTTTCATGGCAATAAGGAGCTGTCTGGCTTGCTTAGAGACTCAGGTTTTCCTTACATTTTAAAAAGTAAGTGTAAATTATGTTATTAAGCTAATTTGAAGGTAATTTTGCCAGGTTTCTACTGAGATGACAACAGTTTTGGCAGGGAATTAAGTGACAACTTTAAACAGGCAGGCTGACCAAGGCAGGAAAAAGCAGGATGTAATTTTAGCAGCAGTATCTAGTTGAGATCATTGCTCTTGTAGCCAATAGGGGAAAAAAATATATGGTGTAGCTGGGTATGGCTAAAAAGGAACGTTTCTTTTGTGGAAATTCAGAACAAGAAGGGGAAAATACACCAAGGAGATTACAGGGTACCTGAGGGATGGAGAAAGGGGAGGGCAGGATTGTCAGACCCCTGTTATCATCCTGAACTCAAACCCATTTCTTCTTCACTGGTGTAAAAGTTAAAAGTAGAAATTTTCTTTATTAGACTGCAGAAGAAGGGCTTGGATTGCAAACCCCAGTGAATTTACCCACCTGTGTCCTGATGTTACACAGATTCTTCCCTCTTCAGCTGACTACTGCAAAAAATGCAAAATCAAACCTCAGTTCAATGATTTTGTCCAGCAGCCTCCACGAGGCTGTCTGGTTTTATTAATAAATTAGCCTTAGAGAGTGATAAATGAATTATCAAGACCTTTCCCATCTCTTAGAATGGAAAGTAATTCTGATAACTCTCTGGCACTAATGAAAAATATTCAGTTTCTAATGAAAAATATTCAGTTCCTAATGGCAACAGAAGGTGATCTTTAAAATTTAAATTAATCTATTTTTATCAGCAGTCACGGTGACATTGCCTGGTGATTGGTTGGTGACAAAAAATTTGTTGTTTAATAAACTACTTTCTAAAGGAATATTTTATAACTGCTCTGCACCTGAAGTTTCTGGAATTGCCAGCCTGGCAGTCGAGGGTTATAATGATGCAAATACAAAAAGTTCTGTTGAAACAGAAGTGTTATTTTAGTTACACGGGTTTAAAGGAGAGAACAGCACATACTCATGGAATTAATTATATTGTACAAGTTGCATTTTTGCTGTTAGGATGTGCTGATGTTACACAGGTAGGGGAGCCTTGTGCCTTAACTGGCCAAAATCTGGGATTAAATAAAGCTGTGCCTGGCCTGCTGGCATCTGTCTGTGAGGGAAGCTGCCAGCAAAAATTCTGCTTTGAGTGCCAAGAGGAGGACAGAACTGCTCCAGTCTAATTTTCCCAGCATTAGCCAGGGAAAATTGGAATTCATGCTCGGGGGCATGGGCTCAGCACCAGCTGGGCTCAGGGAGAATTCCCCCTGGGGCTCACAGCATCAGCAGGTAGAGCACTTGTGCTTGACACATCTGTCACAAAGTGTCTTCACTAGATGGACAGCTCATTTATTTTGGGAAGGGGATTGTGATTTCAGGGGCTTGTGTGGTGCTTTTGCTGCAGTCAGATGGATTCAGTGCCCTCCAGGCAAACTGTTCTCCAGGGAAAATAAACCCCAAAGTGCTGGAGCAGGGCTCAGGAGCTGATGGGGCAGCTGAAAATGGGGTAGACCTTATGGGAAACATTGCCAGGGGTGGGACTGAAATAGGGCTCTCCTTGAGCCAGGTCTCATGAGCTCTTGGAGAGCTATTTCACACCCAAGATAGCTCAGCTACCTTAGAAAGCATAAAATCAGCAGGATGGCTTCTGTGGTAGTGCTGGAAACAAAAAGGTTTCATAAAAGGCAAAATAATAAACTCTTCATAGAAAAAACTGAATAGGTGCCAGAGGTTCTTGCTCCTGGTAGAACACCCCACAAAAGCAATTAGTTTCTTTGTTCTCTTCTTTTTCTAGTAAATTGTTCAGGTGGGACTTTTGGCTCCTGTCCAATTGGCTATCCTTAAGTTTGAGGTAAAGTTCCCTAGGCTATGAGATGCTTTTTCACCTAATTGAGGAGAGAAACTTCTGAGTTTATTTCCTTTCTTAAGGGCCTTATTTCCTTTCTCCATCAACAAGAGGCACAGTCTTATATTGGACTAGTGGCAAAATTACTCCAAGGAGCAAAAACGTGGATCAGAGCTCCCCAGGAGGGCTCCAAAGTGCCCAGCTGAGCAGGCTGCCCTCGTACAGGGAGCAGGTTCAGAGACCTGCAGTACTCTGGGAGATGGGAAAAACACTTCCTATTCCCTTCCTATTTCCATGAGTCTCCAAAAGCATTCTTGTTGCATTATACTGATTTAGAGATGGGGTGACTTAGAGGCATTTTAAAATCTTTTATTCCATTTTCAGTCTCATGTGAAGGGTGAGACAATGCAGGTGTTATAATTCATGCCATCACAATGATTAATTACAATATACTATAAGCATTTCTTGTCCTATCAACTTTTGCCACACCATGGCAAAAGTTAAGGCTGTAAATGCCTTAAAGCCAATCATCTAAAATTACCCCTTGTGGGTCCTACTACAATGCATCTTTCATAGCTCTATTTCTCCAAAGTATCCAGTCTTATTTACAAAACCATCCTTTGAAACTTGTTCCTAGTTCCATTTCTCTCTCAACAATATCTGTCTTATTCTATGGCATTTCTAAATCAGCATTTCTTACCTCAAGGTTTGCATTCAGATGCACACTATGTGAGCTTTCTGTCAGACTTTGAGAATTCTTTACAAATCCATTTCCCACAGTTTCTAACAGAAGTGACCTGAGCAGTGTCATGCATTACACAGATTCCATGGAGAGTCCGTGGGGATTTGAGCCACCTAGTCTCGTGGGAGGCGTCCCTGCCCACGGCAGAGGGGCTGGAATGAGATGATTTCTAAGGTCCTTCTCCTTAAAAATTCCAAAACCTTTGTGTGATTCCATGATCACCTTTGCCAGATGTCCCTTGAAGTGTGACAGCCCTGGGGAACCCCCTTGATCTCCCCTCACCCTCCTGAAGAAGGAATGACTGTGCAGGCAATGTTTGATCCTGTTGTGAGAAGAGGATTGAAATCCCTTGGGATCTGAAGCAGTTGTTTTCTCCCATGGCAGAAGGGTTGGAATGAGATGACTTTTAAGGTCCCTTCCAGCCCAAACCATTCTGTGATTCCATGATCATCTTTGCCAGACAGGCAATGGTGCGCAGGTAATGTTTGATCCTGTTGTGGGAGGAGGATTGAAAACCCTTGGGATTTGAAGCAGTTGTTTTCCCCCACGACAGAGGGCTGGAATGAGATGATTTTTAAGGTCCCTCTCAGCCCAAACCATTGTGTGATTCCATCATCACCTTTGCCAGACATTCCTTGAAGTGTTGATGGCCCTGGGGAGCTCCCCCTGCTCTCCCTTCTCTCTTCTGAAGAATGAATGACTGACTGCAGGTAATGTTTGATCCTGTTGTGAGAAGAGGACTGAAATCCCTTGGGATTTGAAGCAGTTGTTTTCTCCTGGATGATTCCAGGCTGGGTAATGCCCTTGTCTCTGCACACACTGGTCTGATTTGGATTTCTTCCCCGAGCCATTCAAAGGATAATTTGAGCTGACAAGTTGAGTTAACAAGAGATTGTGAGTAGGAAATGCAGGAGGGCTCTCCCCACCTCCCTTTTGTGCTGGCCCTGGGACTGAATTCCCTCATCCCTCCTGGAGTGAGCAGAGCTGAGCAGCAGGATGCAGCAGCTCCACATCCATAGGTCAGTGCAATAAAATCCTAATTGTTAATGGGCAGAGGAAATAAACTCAGAAACCCTGGGGTCAAGCAGACAATCCCTATTCTGCATCTATTTTACACTGTCTGAGCTCACTGACACGTTCCCTGGGGTCAGGGCTTCAGAGCAAGCAACAGGAGAGGGGAACCTGATGCTGTTCTTGCCAAAGAAAATAAACCCCAGAGTAAGAGACAGAGGCAGAGTAAGAGGCAAACCATATGCAGCATTTCCCTGGGTGCCCAGGGAGGAAAAGCAGTGGTTTTAACACGCTGGATTTTGGCAACTTTCCCCATTTTGTGCCAGGGAAGTGAGCTCAGCGTGGTCCCCATGTGTGAGTGCATGCCTGTGAGTAAGTGAGGAGTAATCCCTCCCTGTGCCCATGCCCAGGAGGCTGGCCAGATGAGGATTTATCCTGACAGCCTGCTGGAGGGAAATACAAGCCACAGCATGTGTCATTCTGCATCCCCCACAAGGCTGGACACACAGATTTTTGTTCCTCCAGCATCCAGCAGGACAATCTGTCCTCAATCCTTGGTAAACTTCTCACTCCACACCAAAAACATTCATCCTGAATTGCCACTTTTATCTCAAGGGTGACTTTTCTCTGGATTTGTTTGAAATCTGGAGGAAAAGGTGATTTTTCTCTGGATTTTTTTTTTTTTGTGATCTCCGTGGTCTTCCTCCCAAACTTTATTGTTGTTCTCCTCCTCCTGTTGTCTACACATTCCTTCACTTCCTACACAGCACAGGAATATCCCAACCTACTCCCAGCTCCTTCTGAGCCAGAAGAGCATTTGCATTGTGCTGCTGACA